TTGTATTCGTTCCAGGTGGAGAACCTGCGACCCACCCGCGACCCAAACCGCGTTCAGTGTACAAACCAAAATGTTCGGCACCAGCGGCGGGCTGTTTTTGAATCCCTTCCAAGTGGAGGTGGAGAGCCCGCGACCGATCCGCGACCCAACCTACGTTCATTGAGCGTTCACTGAACGAACCAAACAGAATTCACTGAACGGCTCGACGCCCGAGTCGCCCGCGCCAGCCCCCTCACTCTTATCCTCAATTGCGGGGTGCTACGTCTATTTCTCTCTCTCTCTCTCTCTGTTTTGTTTTTTTTCTCTCTCTCTCTCTCTCTCTCTCTCTCTCTCTCTTTTTATATATATTATTATATGCATATATGTGCATATAATATATATATATATATATATATATATATATATATATATATATATCAGAGTGAGGGGGCCGAACGGTCATTCAATGTCCCTGGGAACAGGGCTGAGGTGGAATTCCGCGATGCGGATTCTTGTTGTTGTGTTGTTGTTTGTTGTTGTTGTTGTTTGTTGTCGTCGTCCCACCCGCAACCCGCCCCGCGACCCACCCGCGACCCACCCCGCGACCCACCCGCGACCCACCCGCGACCCACCCACCCGCGACCCACCCCGCGACCCACCCCGCGACCCACCCTACCCACCCCGACCCACCCCGCGACCCACCCGCGACCCCCGCGACCCGCCAGCGACCCATTCCGAGACCCCCCGGCGACCCCCGCTATCCACCCACCCCGCGACCCACCTGCGACCCACCCCGCGTCCCACCCCGCGACCCACCCGGCGACCCACCCAGCGACCCACCCGCGACCCACCCGCGACCCACCCGCGACCCACCCCGCGACCCACCCAAAATTTTCGGCGCGTGCGGCGGGTTTCGTTTAAATTCGTTCCAGGTGGAGAACCTGCGACCCACCTGCGACCCAAGCCGCGCCCGCGACCCACCCGCGACTCATTCGCGACCCACCCGCGACCCACCCCGCGACCACCATAAATTTTCGGCCCCTGCGGCGGGTTTCTGTTGTATTCGTTCCAGGTGGAGAACCTGCGACCCACCCGCGACCCAGACCGCGTTCAGTGCACAAACAAAAATGTTCGGCACCAGCGGCGGGCTGTTTTTGAATCCCTTCCAGGTGGAGGTGGAGAGCCCGCGACCGATCCGCGACCCAACCTACGTTCATTGAGCTTTCACTGAACGAGTCAAACAACGTTCACTGAACGGCTCGACGCCCGAGTCGCCCGCGCCAGCCCCCTCACTCTTATCCGCAATTGCGGGGTGCTACGGTCTATCTATATGTGACTATGAAACTAGTTGGGACAATACGGCACCAAGGGCACAAGCGGAGCATCGGAATCTGGCTGCAAATAAACGTTAGCAATACGGGTCGCACTCATTTCTGTCCACTGAGGCTCGCGCGAGCACCTCCGAGCGGACGGGAGTGGAAGAAATGTGAAGTGATGAACGGCGCTCACCTGGAGACGCCCTGAGCTTCGCACGGGATCGGACGCATCTTATACGCCCAGCTCGAAACCGCTCCGAATTGCAAGTGTTACAAACCCGCCGCATAGTGCGGGTCGGGCGGAGCGGCTGACGAGCCAACTCCTCCCGCAGAGGAAAACACTCGTTGACTGCGCATTTTTCTGAAGTTCGCGGGGCCATTACGGCGCCAGGTACACCAGCGGAGCATCGGAATCTCGCGGCAACTTCCAAATAGACAAACGCGTGCAAAACGGGTCACAATCGTTTCTGTCCACTGAGGCTCGTGCGAGCAACTCCGAGCGAGCGGAGGTTGAAGAAACGTGAAGCGACGAACGGAGCTCATCTGGAGAGGCCCTGAGCTTCGCAGGGGACCGGAAGCATCTTACACACGCAGCTCGGACTGTCTCCAACACAGCAAATCATACTGTCGTATAAACGGGTGGGCGGGACAGGGAACCATCAATCACACTAGCTTGCCCTGTTTGTCACAGAGTGGCCTGCGCCCTCAGGCACCGAACGGGGCTGGCGGCGGCGATGGGCAGCCTGTTGAATGAGCCCCGACTCTCTGGGTGAAGGAGAGACTTCGCCGTTTGGAATATTTTTGCAGATCGCCGACGCATTCCTGAGGATCTTGCCTGACTTCTCGTAGCGCCTGCCACTGCGCGGCGCAAGCCACCTGCCGCACTTCTGGATCGTCTCGAGGTCGAGGACGCACAGGTGCATGGCCGAGGTGGCGTCCCCGTGGCAGGGCTGAGTGGGGCGCGACGTGGAGGGGCTCCAGCTCGGTCCTCTCCGCGCCCCACAGGATGAGCCGCTGGTGCTCGCCGAGGGTGAGCGGCGCGAGCACGGGCTGGCCCGGAAGGGCGGCACGCTGGAGGGCAAGCACAAGCAGCGCCTCCAAGACGAACTCGAACCCGAGGCCCCTCGAGGCTGGCGAAGATGGCGTCGTCGAGCTCCCCGCTCTTGAACGAAGGATTGCAAAAAAGCCCAAGGATTGCAAACAAAAAAACCCAGCTTGAACGAAGGACTGCAAAAAAACCCAAGGATTGCAACAAAAAAACACCCAGGATTGCAAAACAAAACCCAGGATTGCAAAAGAAAAAAAACCTTGAACGAAGGGTTTTTCTGCAATCCTTGGCTTTTTTTTGCAATCCTTCGTTCGAGGGTTTTTCTGCAATCCTTCGTTCGAGGGTTTTTGTTGCAATCCTTGGGTTTTTTTTGCAATCCTTCGTTCGAGGGATTTTTTTTGCAATCCTTCGGCCGGCCGCCCCGCGGGGCGCCCGCGCACCGCGCGGAGGCCCGCCCGCGCAGCCGCAGCCGCGGCCGCCGCGCGCACGAGCCCGGGGGCGACGGGACGATCACGGCCGCACCCGGGGCGGCCCTGGTCCACGGCGCCACGGCGTCCCCCCTCGGAATACCTCCTCCTCCTCCTCCTCCTCCTCCTCCTCCTGGAGGAGGAGGAGGAGGAGGAGGAGGGTGAGGAGGAGGAGGAGGAGGAGGAGGAGGAGGAGGAGGAGGAGGGGGTGGAGGAGGAGGAGGAGGAGGAGGAGGAGGAGGAGGAGGAGGAGGAGGAGGAGGAGGAGGAGGAGGAGGGGGAGGAGGAGGAGGATGCGGAGCGTCTCGGTCGGCCGCGCGAACATCAGCGAGCCGCCCTGGGACAAGCGCCCCCGACAGCGAAAAAGTTTATGTTATACCCTTCTTCGCCCGTTGAGAGCAGGACGTGCTGCACCGCGGAGGCCAGGCCGCTGAGCGCCGAGGGAAGGGAGCCGTCGTTCCGGAACGCGGCCGCCAGCGCCGCCGCCTCCCGCGGGCAGGGGTCCTCCGACACCGGGGGGTCGTCCAGGCGGAGGCTCTGGAGCGACCGACGGCAGCGCGGGAGCACGCGGGGCCCCCCTGCCGAGCGCGGGCTCGAACATCGCCGCGTATGTAGAGCTCTCCGAGGCAGGTCACGAGCACGCTGTCGAGGCTCTCCTCGTCCTTGGCCAATCTGCTCATGGACTGGCCCCGCGCTGGCGCCCAGGCTTTGAGCTCCCCTTTCCGTCCTCCCCTCTTCCGTCCTCCCCTCCTCTTCCGTCCTCCGCCCTCTTCTTCCTTCCCCTCCATTTCTTCTCCCCTCCCCCCACATTCCTCTCTCCATTGCCTCCCAATCCCCTTCTTCTCGAAGAGCAAAATGATATGTCTTATTCGCGATCACGCCCGTTACCGGTCCTGCCAGGCCCCACCCCTCCCACACCCGCCCAACCCCCCAGTCACCGTCACGATTCGCGCCGGCGCCATCTGGGAATTATGGGCGCGAATCGTGACGCTATCGCTCTCTCGCTCCCTGGTCACGCACGACATCGCCAGGGGATATGCAGTCATCGTGCTACCACAAAGAACGCGTAGTAAAGAACTAACAGGTTTTCTGGTCACGGCTGGCTCAGGCCACAAGGCTGCCTCACGACATGAATCGAAGGGACGGCCCCCAAACCCGAGCCACTCCTGAGCCCAAAACGGTTCTTGTTTCAGCGTCTTCGCTGTAGAACAATTGTCTCAAGGCTCCCGCGCCCAGCGGACGCTGCGAACCCAGGGGGCTCTCGGCGGCGCCTGGCAGCTCTCGGAAGCCTTCGAGAGGGTGCTCGGACGACTACGACGACGACGACGAGGAGGAGGAGGAGGAGGAGGAAGAGGAGGAGGAGTTGAAGGAGTAAGAATGCCAAGCGCTACACGAGGGAGAACTCCTTAGAACACTCTCGGCGAGGCACATCTGCTGGAAGGCATCCCGAGGCTGGAAAACCACCGAGTAGAAAGAGGACCAGTCGCCACACAGGGAGAAAAGGGACGATGAGGACATCCTCGGTGCCTTGACTGTATCCCTGGATCCCCTTTCTTACCTTCCTTTATGGAGAAGACCGAGGACGAGAAGAAGGAGAAGAAAGAGGAGGAGAAGGAGAAGGAGGAGCTGTGAGTTGAGCTATCCGTCAGTACGAGGGGGATGATGATGATGGCATTGATGATGATGGTGATGATGATGATCATCAGGATGATGAATATGATGGTTATGATGATGATGCGGATGCTGATGCTGATGCTGCTGATGATGCTGCTGATGATGATGATTATGATGATGATGACGATGATGATGATGATCATCATCATCATGATGATGATGATCATGATGGGGAGGAGCAGGAGGACGAGGAACCATACGAGGAGCTATACGAGAAGACGAGGAGAAGGAGGAACATCAGGAGGAGGAGGAGGAGAAGAAGAAGAAGAAGGATGATGATAAAGACGAGGAAAAAGAAGGATAATAAGGAATAACAGCAGAAGGAGGAAGGAGGAGAAGAAGGATGACGAGAAAGACGAGGAGGATAAAAGGAGGAGGAGGAGAAGGAAGAGCTGCAGAAAGAGGAGAAGAGGGAGGAGGAGGAGACGGAGGAGGAGGAGGCGGACGAGGAGGAGGAGGAAGAGGACAAAGAGAAGGATGAGGTGGTGGACGAGGAGAGGGAGATGAGGAGCAGGCCTCAACCACGGAGCTGGCATCCGGGGGCCGCTCCAGCTCGGCGCGCAGGCGCCTCAAGGGCACGCTGTCAGGCTGCCGCTGCAGCCCGGCCCTGCGGCGAGGAAGGGGGGGGATGTCAGGAGGCACCTCCTCCTCCTCCTCCTCCTCCTCCTCTTTCTCCTCCCCCTCCTCCTCCTCCTCCTTCCGCCTCTCCTCCTCCTCCTCCTCCTCCTCCTCCTCCTCCTCCTCCTCCTCTCTCGTCCTGCCTCGTCGTCGTCATCCTCCTCCTCCTCCTTTTCCGTCGTCCCTCCTCCTCTTCCTCCCTCGTCCTCCTGACTGCTGCGAGATTTCGCCAGGCGGCCCCCCTGGCCGATACCCGCCCCTTCCGCCCTCCTGCTCCTCTTCTCCAGCCGACCCCTGCCAGGCCATGGGCCCTCCGTGGCGCGCGGCGAGAAGCCCCCAGCGCACGGCTGCAGAACGCAGGACACAAGGGGCACGCGCACAAGTTCGAGCAGTGCAGGCTTCCCTCTGGAATTTTGCAAACCTGCCGCGCAGGGGCTGCAAGGTCAACAATCCTCGGCGAGACACTGGCGGCCGCCCTGCGGACAGATCCACGTGTCCGGCATGCAGCTCCTCAAGAACATTCTGCTTCTCTGGTCGCGACGGGCGCTGTCCCCGCATGGCCAATGACTCCTCCTGGGAATTTCCGGCTCGCCACTGCCGTGCGCAATCCCAATCTTGAGGGGATACCGGAAGCCAGGAACGGCATGCGGAGAGAGGCTCAGACTTTTGTGCCGAAAGCGTATGTAAAAGGCGACGCCCTTCTGGGTGCTGCCTGGCGCTGCGCCGACAGCGCCGCTGCGAGGCACCGGTGCCGCAGCTGCGGCTTTTGCGCTCCGCGCATCGCTCGACATGTACGGCTCTGGCGCTTCAGGCTGAGCTTGGTCGAGGCCCGCATGTTTATGTGTGTGTGTGTGTGTGCGTGTGAGATGCTGGTGCATATTCCGAGGTCCGCTTCGCTCCTTTAGAGGGTATTTTGTGACACTCAGCTGATGGCGCCAAGGTCTGCTTTCGGTGGGCGGCTTCGTGTGCATATGTACTCCACCGGAGAGATCCCTTTGCAAGTCAACTTGCTTGTCTTTCACGTTTCCGATGCAAAACGGGACTGCCACATCTGTTGCATCTGAGTTTGTTGCGCTCTTCCTTAGTGTAAGCCTTCGAGCATGTCCAGTCGACTCCTTGCGTAGCACATTCTCGGACTGCCAAAATTGGGCGCCCGAGTTGTCTGGGGTAACTCGGGTCCGGGGTAACTCGGGTTTGGATTCCCGAAAAAGGAATCCGAGTTAGCCCTGACCCGAATTACCCCTGATGACTCGGGGCTCTGGACGCCCGAGTTATCCGGGGTAACTCGGGTCCGGGGTAACTCAGGCTTGGATTCCCGACAAACGAACCCGAGTTATCCCTGACCCGAGTTACCCCTGATGATTCGGGGCTCTGGACGCCCGAGTTATCCGGGGTAACTCGGGTCCGGGGTAACTCGGGCTTGGATTCCCGACAAGCGAACCCGAGTTATCCCTGACCCGAATTACCCCTGATGATTCGGGGCTCTGGACGCCCGAGTTATCCGGGGTAACTCGGGTCCGGGGTAACTCAGGCTTGGATTCCCGACAATCGAACCCGAGTTATCCCTGACCCGAATTACCCCTGATGATTCGGGGCTCTGGACGCCCGAGTTATCCGGGGTAACTCGGGTCCGGGGTAACTCGGGCTTGGATTCCCGACGAGCGAACCCGAGTTATCCCTGACCCGAGTTACCCCTGATGATTCGGGGCTCTGGACGCCCGAGTTATCCGGGGTAACTCGGGTCCGGGGTAACTCAGGCTTGGATTCCCGACAAACGAACCCGAGTTATCCCTGACCCGAGTTACCCCTGATGATTCGGGGCTCTGGACGCCCGAGTTATCCGGGGTAACTCGGGTCTGGGGTAACTCGGGTTTGGATTCCCGACAAACGAACCCGAGTTGTCCCTGACCCGAGTTACCCCTGATGATTCGGGGCTCTGAACAGATGTTGCCCCAAACCAACAGCGACCGCTGTTGGGCAGGCGGCCTTCTGCCTCGAGTGGACACCGGCCGCGGCGGCGTGGACAGCGAGTCCTGTTCAAAGGAACCAGATCCGCTGTTGGGCATTGTGCCCATTCTTTCCGTGCCCATTTCGTTCGTGCAGATTCTCCCGATGCGAGCAGCCCGCCGCGGGCGCCGCGGGGTGCGTCGCGATGCGGGGCCGTCGACGGCTCGCGAGCCTCGTTGACCGATGCGCAGGAGCCCGCCGCCGGGGCCGACGTGTCCTCTTCGGCGCAGCCAGCCCGCGATTTGCTCCGCTTCCGTGCCCATGGGTCGCTGGAAGGCCAGGGGCGTGTCGCGAGTGCGTCGCGAGGCGGGTCGCGCGTGGGTCGCGGGGTGGATCGCGGGTCAGCTCGCTGCGAGCTGACCCGCGACACCACAGCGCAGCAAGAATTGGCACCGCAGAACCCCCCTTCGGCCACGCACCCAGGGACAATGCAAGACCACTCGGCCTCCTCACCCTGATAGTTCCGAGATTGGTACCCTCGATATCGCTCTCTGTCGCTCCCTCCCGCCCTCCCCAGACACCTGGCTGCTCCAATTCTTTCGATGCGTGGGCCCCAGAGATCAGGACCACTTTCCTACGGCTGGCTTTTTGCCCCGAGTGTTTTTGTTTGAAGGCCCTGAGGCCCTGCGACGGCTCCCGGAGGACGAACACAGACGGACACCGCCCGCTACAATCTCTGCATTCTCTTTGGAGCGTCGGATCTCTGGGTCCGCGAGCCTGCTCCCTCCCGAACTTGGTGGCGCGCACACGGGGGAGGGGGGAAGGGGGTGGGGGGAAGGCTTCGTGCAGGCTGCTTCTTAGGAAGGCGCCGGCCTTCGATCTATAGACCAGGCTCGCGCCTCTTTAGCAGCAGCCCCATTCTAAAAAACACTCCCCCATCCCCCTGCCCCTCATTGCGCGCAGCCGACCCTCGCCCGCCCCCCCCGCCTCCCACACCCCTTCCCGCCCTCCGACCCCGCCCTCCCCCCCGACCCTCGCTCCCGCTCTCTTCCCCATCGGGCGGCGGGATGCAGCAAGGAGAGCGGGATCCTTTTGGGAGCGTCGCCTCCCTGGGTCCGCGAGCCTGCTCCTAACCAGCTTCGAACGTATTCCTATCCCTAAGATGGGCGAGCAAAAAGCGAAGACAATCTTAGGGATAGGCCCTCAGAAACTGAAGGAATCCTTAAGATCGGCATCGAGGTGAGGTGATGTCAAACATAGGGATAAGGATAAGGATATGTTTCAACCTGGTAAAACCTCTGAGATCCGGCTGCTCCAGGGAATGCCCTGGGCGCCGCGGCCGTCTCCGAGCGGTCTGGAACGCTCCGAGAGCGTTCCGGGACGCCCTCAGAGCGGATGTCTTGTCGTCCAGGCCCCGTCCGAGCACTCGGCGCGCTCCAGCAGACGCCAGGAAGTGGCACCGGGCCGCTCAGAGCCAGGCCTGCTGCCAGCGGTGCTTCTCGTCTGGGCTCAACGAGAGGCGCGCGCGAAGAGCGTGCCGTCGTCTCGCTGACTCCCGCCCTCCGTCTCTCACTGCCTGTTAGCTGTCTCTCTCGCCTTCTCTCTATTTCTCTTTTGCTCGTGGTTTACAATTGTTCATGTATGTGTTGTCTCCCTTTCTCTCACTATGCACATATGTAGATATATGTGTATAGCCAGAAAAAGACTGCTAGATATTAGAAATGTCGCGCGCGCTTCGCGCGCGCTCAAGGTTCTCTGCGATCCCAGTTCGCAGTGACAAGTCGAGGGTTGGGCGACGATTGCGGATGAGCCTTTTCTTCCGACGGCGCTACGGGAGCACGTGCATAGTAGACGGCGCTGACCTGCGCACGGAGGTCTCCAGGAGGACGACGCAGGGGACGAGGGGGCGGTTTGGAGGCCGAGGACGTGGAGCAGAGTCCACGGTCGTGATGGCTGGCAAAGATAGCAAGGGCAGAACGGCAAGGAGGGGCAAGAGCAGAAGGAGAAACGGAGCCTCTGACAACAAATAAATAATTATCCCCGTGCGACCCTACCTAGGAGTTGGATGATCTAGGAAAGCAACATCTATATCAAGCTACATTAAGCTAAGATGAAGCTAAGCTAAGATGAAATAAGCTAAGCTAAGATGAGATAAGCAGTGCTAAGCTGAGGGAACGTCACCGGGGGAACCGCGGGGCGGATACTGGGGGAACCGCCCGGGGCGAGTTGCACTGCCCGGCCCTTTAAGCATACCGAGGAAGAACCCTTCTAGGCAGAGCCTGGGTAGGGAAAAACAGCAAAGGAGGAAATAGCGGAGGGGCCACGGTGCCCCTCGTCATTGTCCCGCGCTCGCGCCTCCGCAGCTGTCCTGGTCTCCCCGCGTGGGAGCAGCCGTGGATGAACCTCATGTGGGCCCATCGGGCCAGGCTTTGAGGCCTGGCGGTGGCTTACCTTGGGTAAGCTTCTGGGGAGCCTTGGTGCCCCCCTCGTCATTGTCCCTCGTCCACGGCCTTCGGCCCATCCTGCCACCGTGCCCCGGGATGCTGGTCAGAGTCAGAGACCTCCTGGATGCCTGTTTGGGGTCTTTCGGGGAGCCTCCGGGCAAGCCCTTGGAGGCAGTGCTGACGCTCCTCGGGGGCCGACGGCGCGCCTCTTGGGGCCCGGCTGGGGTCTCTTGAGGGGCTTTCGGGGTCCTCGTGTGGGGATTGTCGGTGGCCTGCGTGCGGTCTCCTAGGTCCTCTCTGGCTCGAGGCCCCGAGAGGTGAGGATCGGGAGGGGGGGGCCACAGCGACCCTCGTCCACGTGTGCCCCTCCTGGTGGCAGTCTGCCCGTCTTGCCACCGTTCCTGGGTTGCTGGTCTGAGGCCTCCTGAATGCCTGTTCGGGTCACTGGGGAAGCCTCTGGGCAGCCTCTTGGAAGCACTGCTGAAGCCTCTTGGGGCGCCTCTCGGCACCTCTCTTGTGCCTCTTGGGCCCTCTGGGGGAGTGATTGGGAGCCTGCTGGCGATCTTCGGGGTCCTGACTGGGCGGAAGCCTCCACATTTTGGGGGCCCCTCTTAGGGCCGTCTTGGGCGGTCCGGGGTGACTCTTGGGCCGTCATGGGGCCTCTATGGTCGTCTTGGGGCCTTCTTGGGGACTTCGTGGACGTCGTGGAGCTCTCTTGGGGGCCTCTGGGGCGGTCTTGCACGCTGCGAAGATCCAAAAAGCGAAGTTGCTAGGAATGTGCGAATTCCTAGAAAGGAAGGGCACTATTTGCGCCTATTTGGGGCCGTCTTGGAGCCGTCTTCGAGCGTCTTGGGGGCCTCTTGGGCCGTCTCGACGCCACCTGGTACCGTCCAGAAGCCGTCTTGGCCCGTCTGTGACCTATTTGGACGCTACCCCGAAGCTCCGAGGGGGGCCAGGGAAGCTCCGGGGAGGCTCTGGGAAGACCCTGGGGAAGCCCCTCGGGGGGAAGGGGAACTTATTGCATGTCAGCGGCAGCTGCGGCCTGGGAGGCCCCAGGGTCAGGTTTCCCATATATGAGAGAGACTTCCCCCTCTACTGCTTCTCCCTCTATCCATGCTTTGTCTTCTCTCTGTATCGCTTCCCCCCTCTCTGCCTTCTTTCGCTCACTGCCCGCCGCCCCCCCCCCCCACACGAAAGTCCTGCAGGATCGGAGGGCTTTCTGCGGCAGGCCCAGCTGCTGCAGCGCCAGCGCCCTGCTGTAGTGGGCCTTCCCCGCCCCCGCGGCAGAAGGTGGCAAGACGTCGGGGAGCGAGCGAGCGTAAGGTTAGAAGGAGGCATGGGCGAAGGTTGAGCGCGATGAGTAGTGAACACAAGGAGGAGGGCGATGAGGAGGATGAAACGGGAAGGGGCGTTGTTTGTGTTGAGGCTGAGGTTGAGGCTGATGTTGGTGATGCTGCTGCTGATGATAATGGTTTCTCCTCCACGCGCGGGCGCAGCCAACACCTGCGCTCCGCCTGGCCGAACGGCGCCCGGAGGCGCCACCATCGCCTCCCGCACCTCCCCGCGATGATGATGATGATGATGATGATGATGATGATGATGATGATGAGGAGGAGGAGGAGGAGGAGGAGGAGGAGGAGGAGGAGGGGACAGATGAAGGGGCCCCAGGACACACAAATAAATACACACAAATAAAACTATTCCCCATATTTCCCCATATTTCTAGGATTTCGTCTTCCGCCCCACGTCCCATATTTTCCCACATTTTCCTGGGAATCGACGATTAATTGTGTCTGTGTGTTTTTTCCCCTCCTGAACAGAGCAGGTGGGAAGGAGGGTGCGACGAGATGGAGGAACAATGAAGTACTGCGAGGACGCGGAGAAGGCCGGGAGCCAAGAGGAGGTCTGGCAGGAAGAGGAGGTGGCAGAAGGCGATGAGGAGTATGAGGGGAGACGGGAGACGCCTGAGGAGGAGACGGATGCGGAGGATATGGCCGAGGGGCGAGTCCAGAACCCACGCTGAGGGACACAACGACCCAACCCACCCGCAACGGAGGAGACACGGCGGACGGAACGGCGGATGCCAGGAGGGTGCCGCACACATAGGGCGCCCACGACGAGGACAGGCACCCCAGAGACGAAGCCCAGGAGAAGGCAGGGCAGAGCGAACGCTAAGAAAAAGACGCCTCGCCTGACAACAGCAGTGTACCACGGCAGCACATCCGTAATCGCCACGAGCCCGTATGCATCGAAAGGGTGTGCCCCCCTCGAATGCGATACCGATGGTATGGTTGAGCCGCTCGTTGGAGAAGACGGCGAGTACACAACATTGCCCGGCCGATCTGAAGGAACTTCCCCAGCAAATAATCGAGCGGACTGAAGACTGTGTTTGCGATACTGGTCGAACTCGACGGATACCCTGTCTAACAGAACTGGTACGGACACTACATTCATCTTGCAACAATAATGCAGTCAGCACTTTCACGGTCAGATCGGGTTGGAATTCTAAGATGCGAAGCTAGCCGCACAAGCTATACGACGCCCCGCTGGGGCGAAGCCATCAATTAAAGTGCATGAGCTGTGTACGAACTGCCTTGCTGCATCACCAAGATGCGCCTCTCCGTTGTGACTGGCGTTTGCTGAGGTGGCTTCAATCTTACGTAAACTTGGGTCTTGACGAACCCCTGGTGCAAGAATTTGGCGATATAACCCCCGCGTAGGGAACACGGTAGTGGAAATGCAAGATAAAGTAACGTCGAGAGTCACTGTTGTACCAGCATCGCTCGCAAGGCAGATAGTCACTGCAGCTGCAGCTGCAGTGACTATCATGGGCCTGTTCCCAGTTCTCTTCTCCCAAACGACGGGATTCCCATCATGGGCCTGCTTGGAAGGCGGCACATGGTCCATTGCAACATCGAAGCTGCACCGATATCCATGACCACCTCTCTGCGGCGCAGGCCGCCAAGTGTCTACGTTGACCCACCGCCGGATGTCGCAAATGAGGCCCTTGTCTACGAAAAGCCCCGTACTGTTTTCGAGACCTTCTTCAACAGCAGCAGGTCTTCGTCTGTTGGTCGCCTGCCCGGCATCCAAAACACCAGCCATACATGCAGGCGCGAGGACCTCTGCAGCTAAAGCGCGGGAAAGCGAAAAACACCTCCCAGATGGGAATGGTCCCTTCTGTGTGCAAGCATTCGTTCCAGAGCGACGCCGTTGTGATGCTGGGCTTGTGGGCGGTGTTGACGGAGCTGATGATTGAACGGCTTCGGCGATGCTGATGACGTGGGTGGCAGTGATTGTGCGTGCGCTGCTGTTCCTGCAGAGGTTAGCAATATGGTTGATGGTGCGATTGCTGATGCTGATGGAGATTTTCCTGTGCACCCCGCCGGCTTCAACTTGCTGGTACGGCCACGCATATGATATTCGCGCTGGACGCTGGCGGAAAACATTGCCCTCCGCATTCTGCGTCATGCGCAACATGTTAGGGTTATGCGTCCGTGGCGGCGCTGAGAAGTTGAAACTCATCTACATCAAGAGATGTAGTCTGGCCGCGCAATGAACACTCGCGCGCCCGATTCGGCGCCGCGCGACTCGTACAACTTGTAGACACCTTCAGTGCCACGTGTATTGCGAAGTGCGACGCAACTTGATATCATGAATGACGACCCCTCGCATGCCTGAGGCCACCATGCCTTCGGCACGTGGAACCGCCCCCGATGGCCCCACGGACGGCTCCAGGGCGCCTGCCCGGGCGGCGAAGCATCCGCGCAGGCCCGGCGCGGATCCAAGAACTCCGCGCGGAGCGCCAGAAGTTTAGGTTTATGGCGTTTTTTGTTGTCTGTGTTTCCTCCTTCTTTCGATGGAGGCCAGCATGCCTAAGGCCACCATGCCTTCGGCACCGTTTCTTTGGTTTGGTACCGTTGTGTGGCACGGCCTGTTCTAGAGGAGGAGGAGGAGGAGGACCTCCCGCCTTCGAAGGAGGCAGAGAGGAGGAGGAGGAGGAGGAGGAGGGGGAGGAGGAGGAGGAGGAGGAGGAGGAGGAGGAGGAGGAGGAGGAGGAGGGCGCAGGATAATGCCTGCCCGTTGCTTGGCACCGCTTCTTTGGCGCTTCCCGGGCAGCCGCTCTGCGCCCCACACGCCTCCTCGAGCACTCCTCCCGCCCGGCTCTGCCCTTCGGCGCCATCGCCCCGCAGCAAGGCGAAACCCCACTAAGTGAGGAAGCCACGTCAGAGACCGACACGCAACCATCTGCGCTGGTTGATTGATCAGCAAGAGCGTCTCTAGAATCAGATACTTCTTGCGCGACTACAGACGCTTGGGTTTGGCTTCTCATGAATTCTACCAGGCAAAAACATAAACAACGCATCGGTGTCTCTCCCAATGGCGACAAAAAGACCTGATCTCTTCGCTTCGGTTTCGTGCGTGGCTTTCCCGCCAAATGATCAAGGATGCTCCTCGATGGCCCTCGCCGAGGGAAAAATGCACAGGTCCGAGCGATGCCAAGCCTAGCCTTCGGCGCCCCTCCTGGCCTCCGGACGGCTCCTGGGAGCAGACGCTGCCACGAAGTGGCTGCAAGACGCCCCACGGCTGCCTGAGGTGGGTCCAGCGAAGGCCAGAATTTCCCAAGATGACCCCCGAATACCCCAAGATACCTCGAGAATCTCCTGGGAGACTCCCAGGGAGGCCTCCAGCGAGGCTCTCAAAAGCGAACGACAACTGAAACACTTGAGAACACAACAGTGTGCTTTGACTCGGACGGTGTTTGGCTTCAGATAGCCTCGGGAAGCTGCAAATGCCTTGAAGAGGCCCCCAAGGCCGTCACGGACGGCCCCTCGACTGCCCCAAGACAGCCCGAGAACCCTGCAAGAACCCTCCAATACGGCTGCACGACGGCCCGAAGATGGTCCAGCCGACCTGGTTTGGGAGAATCCAGGCTCCAAGATCTCCCCTGGATACTTCAGACGGCCCCATATTTGTCCGTAAGAGACCGTATGCAGCATACTGCCTTGAAGCGTCAACATAACCAAATGCTGATGTTGCTTCCAATGCGTTTCGGCTGGAGACTGCCTCGAGGAGGACTGGGAGAGCCCAAAGAAGCAGCAAATACGATCCAAGACGGACCCGAGAGCGCCCCAAGACAGCCCCCAAACTGCCCGAGATCTCCCCTCATTCGGCCACATAGGGCTCCGAGAACAAACATCCACCCGCACGTCACACAGATTGTTCAATCGGGCCTCCTCGGGGGAAGCTCAAGCTCCGAGATCTCCCCAACGTGTTGAAAAGGTCGCTAGGCATCCCGAAGAGATGCCCGCAGAGGCCTCATCCCCAGCCAGGCCGGACAAGCCAACAACAATCCAAACCGCCAAACACAGAACACATCAGTTTCCATCGATGCCTTTCAGCTTCAGGTTGCCTGAAACACCCCCCAAAACTGCCCAAAAAGTCTCCAAGACGGATCCGGAACTCGCCCAGACGACTCCAAGAAGGTTCGATCGAGCCTTTTCGGGAGAGCTCGGTAGAACCATTGCGCTAGAAACGCCCCCGACGGGCACCCAACGGGACCACAACAACCTCGTAAGAGGCCCCCGAGAGGGCCAGCAGACCCCGAATTCGCCCTCACGCAGCCCCCAATAGGCCCCATAATAGGCTTCAAATGGGAGGAGGGAAGAAGAAGAAGAGGAGGACATGGAGGAGGAGAGTTGAAAGACGGGCAAGACGAGGCGGCGGACAAGGAAGGGGTGTCAAAGACCCACGCCAATTCAAAGAACACAGAGCTGGGGGGATATGTAAACTCAACCTCCTTCATTCTTGAACGCCGCGCTACTCCGCTGGCATGGTGGCTGGACTTGCCGCAGATAGCTGGATGCATGCAAATAGTGGTTGGTGGCCTTCCCGCTGATACCAGTATCATTGTGTCCCAGATGTCCCCATGCCCAGATCATTACACATATCGCTGAACATCCGAAACACGCCGTGCGCAATTTCGCGCGCTCCGCATTATACGCGGGACATCATTCAACTAGGTTCGAGCCGAGCCACCTCAGACAGCGACAACACATGCACCCCCCAACATCAGCATCTTCACACGTACGCACTTTCCCTCCGACGCACCGAAATCTAAGCATGCGTGAGCACTCTAAACACGTAATCACACATGTCCCTCCAGAAGCGCGAAACATTTTTTTAGGGGGCCCGAAACGGTGTGAGAGGGTGACGTCAAGATCCCCAAAGACCTCTCCGCACGGTCCGCCACCGCACGGTGACACTGGAAAACCACCAACAACCTCCTTGCGACTTTTCCGCAACGAGAGGACGCGGGGTCACCACGACACCCCACTGATTCACCAGCGAACACCCCCTGCCCTTGTCTTCTCACCCACTTTCGCGGTCTCTGTCGTGGCATCTCTTCGTCGTCGTTTCTTGTCCCCTCTGGCACAGGGCCCCTCTCGGCTGGCAAAACAAAAGTGTCGTCATCGCACTGCGTGTGGGCCGCATACCTTACTCTTAAAGGGGCTCAGGGACATACACCGAAACAGACACAATTCCCAGGATTCCCAAATTTCCTCACTATGTTCTGAAGTTTCGTCGTCCCTTTCCACTTCCAATACTTTCCCAGATGTTCTTGGGACTCGATGTTTATTGTGTCTGTGTGTTTGTTATCCTCCTGATTCAAAGACGGCGAGGAGAGTAGACAAGGAAACAGTGGATCAGAAATCCAGGGTCTGAAAACTCAGTGGAGAACCAATGGAGGCTTGGCCGTGGATATCCTCGCTGGCCTCAATGAATCTTCCAGGGTCTGAAGCCTCCTGGACACATTCCTGAACGAACGCCTCCACCGTACTGAATCCAGAAGTTCCAGAAACGCAGAAAGGAGGAGGAGGAGCAACACACAGCAGGCGACAGCTTCACGACGTCGCACAAAAAGAAAACAGGCCACAGGGATCAGCAGGATGGCGGATGAGAGCGGGTGGAAAGGAAGAGAGGAGCAGTCGGAGGAGGAACAACACTATGTTGTGGAGGAGTAGGAGATGGGGGAGGAGGAGGAGCAGGAGGAGGAGGAGGAGGAGGAGGAGGAGGAGGAGGAGGAGGAGGGGCAACGCAAAGCCTTCGCATTGGAAGGATCCAGCTCCGCAGCAATCTGAGCATCCTGCTCGGCGTCCTCCCAGTTCTCCAGCTGCCGGTTCACTATCGACCTCGCGAAGCGGAGGGATGGCGAGGCAGGTGCAATTACGCAGCTGTCTTTCCCGGCGCCTCCAGACACTGGGGGCACCACAGGAAGAAGGAAAGAGCCCGGGGCGGGGCCGCAGAAAGCTGCATGCAGCAGGTTTCGTACCCACCCCCCTTCCTTCTGCCTTCCCTCGCTGGCCCGAGAAGGAGGGGAGCTGGGAGGAGCGCCACTTTGGAAGCCAGCATGTTCCACTCACCGCTCGGGCATGGGCCCTCGTTCCTGCCGCGTCCGTCGAACAACCGACCTCCGACAACTTCTTGGCTTTCAGTCTCGCTTGAAATCGTCTTGCTTGCTGCGGATCTCGCCTCAAACGCAAGCGCCAGTACGAACTTGCGATCATAGCGACGACGACGAAGGGAAAGAGGATGAAGCTGAGCAGAAGTAAAAGGAAAAGGAGGCGGAGGAGGAGGGATGGCAGCGTCCTGAGGGACTCCAATCCCAAGAACTGCAGCTGCAGCAGGTGGAGGAGGGACTGACGGGAGGAGGGGCGGGAAGAGGCAGAGAGCGCAGAGGCAGAGGGGCAAGATGAGGAGAGGGAGAAAGACAATCTCTAGGGGAACAAAAAGTGTCATAAACATAAAAACTCTGAGGTCCGCGCGGATTCTCGGATCGGCGCTGGACCCCCCTCCCTCGCGCGCGGAGCGCGCCAGGGGCGGCGCCGCTGGGGGGCTCCAGCGCCGATCCGAGAAATCCGCGCGGACCTTCGAGTTTTTATGTTTATGCCACTTTTTGTTCCCCTGAACTCCCCCGCCTGTTGAGCCACAGAGCTGGGTTGTGGCGGTCCAGCACGCAGGCCTCGGAGTAGGCATCCAGCGCCTCTTCGAGACGCCCCTCCTTGAAGCGTGCGTTACCGCGCTCCTTCAGCTCCAACGCCTTGCGGCCAGCGGTCACGCAACCCAGGCCGTGAAGGCGAGAGAGAGGGAGAAGGAGAGCCAACAAGCGAGAGAGAGAGAGAGAGAACCACAGAGATCGACACAGAGAAGGATACAGATCGAGAAATCGAGAGATCGAGAGGAAGAGAGAGATAGAGATGAGAGCCAGAGAGAGAAGGACATATACACGTGGAGACAGGCAGAGGCAGTGAGGACAGGAGAGGAGGAAGGAGAGGAGCAGCAGAAACGGCGGCAGCAAACTCGCTCTGCTGTGGGATTATGGCGCAAGTACTCGTGAGAGGTCAGCACTTATAGCAAGAACAGCTGACAATGCCACCCTGTGGCTGCTAACGCCAACGTGTACAACAAGAAAACCTATGCCTGCAAATCCACAAGCCGCATATATAGACGATCGCACGGTCGGCTATGATTTCCCGATGGCTATGTGTCGCCTTGCATCCAGAATGGCCCTCGAGGTCTACACATGAATAGCTCTGGTCACGACGCGAATGGACGTGCATCGCAACACACATCAAATAAGGGAGCACATGTCAGCACTACATGGGACAAATCGTCGTCGGAGGTCGAACAAGATGCGCCGGCGGTTGCTCGTCAAAGAGTGCATGGAGGGCGACAGCTTGCGCGACAACTTGCGATCGGACGCCACGGCGGTGTGACGTGACCACCCCGAGCGCGTCCTCATACATCACGCCACCCAATGTGTCTACGTATAGACGCTTGTCGCTAGAAGGTGAGAATGGTATTTGGCATATGCCTCAGATGTTGGCCTTCTAGGCGCAAATAGAAAGAGAACGTTTTGAAAACGACGCGCCGGCCTTTGGACGTCAGGCGGCATGGTGATACCTCAGAGCACGCACAAGCAACGAGCAGGTGGGCCACTGGCCGATCCCGCACCCGAGACACCTGAACAAAACACACCAGCCAGAGCACCGTGCCCAAAACGAGAAACAGCCAAACGGGAAGGACAAACGCCCCGCAGCGTTTTGGAGATCATCTGAAGTCCTCCGAAGCCCAACCTGGCCAAGCAACCAAAAAGCCCTCGCGCCTTCCGAGACGTTTCCTGCGTCTGCGGTGAAGGCCTATAGACACCTCCTCAGAAGGCCCGAGGCCTCCCTGGCCATCGTATCCAGACCCCCGACGGCTAAACTTTGTTCGAGGCGTGGCCCCTGACGTGCGGCCAACCTGCATCGTTTTCTGCCGGTCCCGAGGCCCAGCGAGGGCTCCCCGAGGCCGAAGAACCGGCCCGAGAACGCCCGCTCCGAACTTTCTGGAGCGTCGGCTCCCCTGGGAATAGGCCCCGCCGAGAGAATGGCCCAGAGCCTCCCGTCGCGACCTGGTCCACTGAGGGGTCGAAGGATCGCGCCGCAGCGCCGATGCATCGGCGATACGTCTCGGCGATGCATCGGCGATGCACCAGCGATAAATGGCGATGCCTTGGCGCCGTCGGCGTGGTCAAAGTCGGGCCCCGCATCGAGCCGCATCGCAGATGCATCGGCGATGCGGCGCGATCCTCCGACCCCATCCGCTCGGACCCCGACGGGGAGGCCTAGACCCACAGCGCGAGGAGGCGGGCGCCCCCCGAGCCGCGGCCGAGCGCGCCTTGACCGCCTCGGGCGGCGCGCTGGCGGGGTCGGGCGCCCCCTTGGCCGCGGCGGTGGCTTTCGCACCGCCTCGGCGGCGTTGGGCGGGGCGGGGTCGGGCGCGCCCTTGGCCACAGCTCGGCGGCGAGCGAGGGAAGGAAGCGAGAAGGAGAAGGCCTTCTCGGAAGGCGGCGGGGCTCCTGAGAAGGCCTCCGGCTCTCTGGGAGGTGTTCTGCACCTGCGAGGAAGGCTTAGACAACTTCTCAGGAGGCTGGGGGACTTCCATGTCTTCTGAGAAGGCGCGCCACTTCTCGCTTCCCCCCCTCGCTCGCCGCCGAACAGCATGGGTGCAAGCAGGCAGGCAGCAACCAGTAGTTAGACAGCAGCGCATGGCCATGCACCCACCGAGGCGGTGGCTTGCGCACCGCCTCGGCGGCGTTGGGAGGAGACTCTGGCGCGCAGCGCGAGGGACGGCGAGGGGCGGCGAGAGTCGTCGTCGTCGTCGTCGTCGTCGTCGTCGTCGTCGTCGTCGTCGTCGTCGTCGTCGTCGTCGTCGTCGTCGCGTTTGACCCCATTGCCCCAGGCCCTTCGCCGCTCCCCCTTTCACTGGGCCCTCCTCCTCAAGCGAGCCAGCCAACGCGAAACTAAAGCGCCGTCGAGCACTGATCCCTTCCCCCCCGAGGGGGGGTGGGGCGAGGGGGGGGGAGATCCTGGGGGGGAGATGCCAACAAAATCGGCACAGGAGGCCCCCAATAGGTTTCCAATACGGCCCCGAAACGAGGCCCCGATAGGCACCCAAATGGCCTCCAAGAGGCCCCCACCCGGCCCCAAGAGGTCCCGAGACCCCCAATATGCTCCTAAGAGGCCCCCAAGGTGCTCCCAAGAGGCCCCAGCGCTGCCCCCCCAGAGGCCTACGAGCGCGATCCGAAGAGGCCCCACGAAGCATCACTGAGGACTCTGCCCCACGTCTGCGTCGTCGTCGCCGCCGACGCCGCCTTTGTGGTCGTGGTCCCTCTGCAAGGTCGGCGGCACCAGCCGTAAGGCCTTCCCAATGTCCCAGCCTGGCAACCCTTCGCTGAGGAAGGAGGAAGAAGGGACGGGAGGGGAAATGGCTGTCTCAAACGCGCACAAGATGCAGAATAACATAGCGATCAAGAGCCTCAAGAGAAACCGCACCTGTCACGACTGAACCCAAAGACCACACACATGCAAACTAAGTACGTAGCACCCCGCAGTTGCGGACAAGACTGAGGGGTCGGGCGCGGGGTGGGTCGCGGGTTGGTCGTGGGTGGGTCGCGGGGTGGGTCGCGGGTGGGTCGCGGGTGGATCGCGAGTGAGTCCAGGGTGTGTCGCGAAATGGGTCGCAGGTGGATCGCAGGTGGATCGCGGGTGGGTCGCGGGTGGGTCGCGGGTGGGTCGCGGGTAGGTCGCGGGTGGGTCGCGGGTGCTTCGCGCGTGGGTCGCGGATGGGTCGCAAGCGGTTCGAGAGTGGGTCGCGGGCCGGGTCGCGAGTGGGACGGCGACAACAACAATCACAGTAACTGGTCGCTCGTGTCTGATCGCGTGCCATTCAACGCGTATATCACCCACCCGCGATACACGCCCTCTTTGTCTTCGATCGTACTGCCCTGTGGGGGTATCTCTTTCCTACCTGCCCCTTGCAGTTGGCGCAGCCCTAAAACAGGGGAAGGAAGGGAGAAGTAAGGGACAGGGGGAGGGAGAAGGATGGAGCACGAGAGAGATTTGCAGGAGGGTGAGGAGTAGGAGTGCGAGCGGCAGAACCTGACGGGCGGGTCGGGCGGGCGGACCCTAACGGGCAGGTCGGGCGGGCAGGCCCAGTCGGCCAGGTCGAGCGGGCGGGTCGCTGAAGCGTCAATCCAACATGAATCGCAAGAACTGTTGACCGATAGCGCGATTCCCATGTGAAGCGCCAGGAGAGCCACAGCGAGACCGCGATTTCTGAGCGTCGAGGGCGAGGCGCCGCAATACATTGTGAGGAAATGCTGCGCGAGAGCGCGATTTCCTCATAACATGTGAGGAAGCCCCGCGCGAGAGCGCGATTCTCAAATCAAGTGTGAGAAACTATCAGGCAGAGCCGATGTTGCTATAGTTCGGGGGCCAGAGGCCCAATCTGAGCCATAAGATTTTCCCTGGTTGAAGAGCAGGCTGCGAGCCCCAGGCGGAGCAGTTAAACTCAAAAAACAAAACGTGAACATAGGGGGGATCAACTACAATCATGCTTTACAATTGAAAACTCAACAAACAACAACCCAACAGCGATCCGCACCGCGGAACCCCACTTCAGCCACGCACCCAGGGACAATGAAAGACCATTCGGCCCCCTCACTCTGAGAATAGCATGGCGATCATCAACCTCACGAGTGGCCATCACTGATCACAAACAGCACCACTCCGACAGAGAAACGTTGATCGAATACGGTGCAGCACCTCATCAATGCGTCACAACCGGAAACGCTAGCCTCCAACAATATCCATCGATGTTACAGGGACGTGGTGAAGACGACTTGTGTGGAATAGGCCCAGCGTGGAAGACCAACCTCTTGACGACCCAGATGCCACCGCGGAGCTCAGAAGCATCCTGTGCACAATGTCTTCTCTTCTCCGCTGGCGGAGGAGGATGAAGACCGCCAAACCCCATGATGCGTCCACGTCGAGGAGGAGCGCCAATCCCCATGACGCCTCCGTGTCGAGGCTGGGGAGGAGGAGGAGGAGGACAAGGGGAAGGAGGATGTTGAGGAGAAAGGCCCTGGTGGCGCTGACGCTGGTCAAGCGGGGGCTCCAGGCAAGAAGGAGGGGGGGGGGAGCGAGGCGGAGAGGCCGGCGCCGCCCGCAAGGGGCGGGCTGGGGCCTGCGACCACCTCGGCCCGCCTGTGGCAGCAGACCCTGGCCCTGCGCGGGGGGGCGGGTGGGGGGGCGAGCGCTCCAAAGCCAAACTGCACCGCACCGCACTGCACTAGCCCTGCGCCGTCTGGCGCGCAGGCGGGACAGGTCTGACTTCAAGCGCTCACAGCCCATGCGCCTGCTGAACAAGGCAGTGTGACTAGGAGAAGAAGGGAAAGGAGGAGGAGGAGGAGGAGGAGGCGGACAAGGAGGACAAGGGGAGGGAGAAAGGGAACGACACATGCACTTCATTCTCAGTACGGAGCTCTCCTGCCAGGGCGCTCGGGCCCTACTCAACAAAACCCTCTCGCGTCCCTACAGTCGTCGTGCTACCAGACATAAGAAACGCTGAATAACGGACGATCCAGATCTGAGGGAGGGCCGGAACACAGAGCCCCTCTTGAGCCCAAAGCGGTCCTCACTTCAGCGTGTTTGAGACCGCCGCATGCCGAAAAATGAAACAGAAAGCTGAGGTCCAGAGCACTAACCGTTATTTCTGGCGATGTTTTTTGCAACGTCGGATCACGCGGAAGATCGGAACACCGGCTCCTCGATCCTCGCCACTCCTCGATCCTCTCCACTCCTCGATCTTCGATCGAACAAGCCCTACTTCCTCCTCGATCCTGGCTCCTCCCCTCTCTGGTGAGGCCTGCTGAGGTGGCGTTCGCAGAGGGGTGACGATGTGACTGAGCGAGGAGACTGTTTCCAACCATCCTGTGGTGTTGGGTCCTCGTTTTGAAGAGGCAGCGCCCAGCGTCCCTCCTCCTCATCCTTCTCCTCCTCCTCCCTCTCCCCCCTCATCCCATCATATCCCCTCTGCCCTCCACATGCCTCTGTTTCGGTACACACCTCATACGTTTCGTGGCCCCACAGGGAGCTTCAACTACAGTCCCAGTGGCGCAACCCGCACGCGGCCGACACCCCCATTTCGGCAAACCACACGATTGGGGAGCTCCACCTGCAGTCCCAATGGCACAGCCCGCAAGTCGGCGACACATCCATTTCGGAACACCCCTCACACGCTTCGTGGCCCCACAGGGAGCTCCACCTCGAACCCAATGGCGCAGCCCGCATGTGGGCGGCACCTCCGTTTCGGCACACCCCTCACACGTTCCGTGGCAGCTCCACCTACAGTCCCAGTGGCGCAGCCCGCATGTGGGCGGCACCTCCGTTTCGACACACCCCTCACACGTTTCCTGGCAGCTCCACCTACAGTCCCAGTGGCGCAGCCCAAATGTGGGCGACACCTCCGTTTCGACACACCCCTCACACGTTTCCTGGCAGCTCCAAATACAATCCCAGTGGCGCAGCCCACATGTGGGCGACACCTCCGTTTCGACACACCCCTCACACGTTTCCTGGCAGCTCCACCTACAATCCCAATGGCGCAGCCCACATGTGGGCGACACCTCCGTTTCGGCGCACCCCTCACACGCTTCGTGGCAGCCCCACCTACAGACCCAATGGCGCAGCCCGCCTGTGGGCGACACCTCCGCTTCGGCGCACCCCTCCCACGTTCCGTGGCAGCTCCACCTACAGTCCCAATGGCGCAGCCCACATGTGGGCGACACCTCCGTCTCGGCGCACCCCTCACAGGTTCCGTGGCCCCACAGGGAGCTCCACCGAAGGCCCCAGTGGCGCAGCCCGCATGTGGGCGACACCCCCGTTTCGGCACACCCTTCACACACTTTGTGGCCCCATCAACAGAGCCCACAGGTGGGCGGCACCCCCGTTTCGGCACACCCCTTACACAGTTCCTGGCCCCGCAAGGAGCTCCACCTGAGGCCCCAGTTTGGCAGCCGGCATGTAGGCGACACCCCATCTTGCCAGCACACCCCTCACACGTTTTGTGGCCCTACAGGGAGCTCCACCGACGGTCCCAGTGGCGCAGTCCACATGTGGGCGAAACCTCGTTTCGGCAAACCTCCCACACGTCTCGTGGCTCCACAAGGAGCTCCACCGAAGGCCCCAACGACACAGCCGGTATGCGGGCGTTGCCCAGTAGGGAGTTCCACCTCAGACGGCACGGCAATCTTGCGAGCACCAAGCCATGCCTGTCAACACCCGGGGCCCCCTGAGGTACCGTTACACGGAGGGGGGGACCCGCCGTAACGGGCTCAGCGAATAAAGTGTCGCGAGGCAGGTGGGACGAAAGAGGGGCAGCTCGCTATGGGGCCCCGAAGCGTGAGGGGTGTGCCGAAATGGAGGCGGGTACGCCATGCGGGGCCATGCAGACCCAGCCACTGGGGCCTTCGGTGGAGCTCCCCATGGGGCCCCGAAGCGCGCGCCGAGAGTGCCAAAATGGGTGCGGTGCCATGCGAGCGCCCTGCCACTGGGTCCCTTGGTGGAGATTGCCCATGGGGCCAGGAAGCGTGTGAGGTGTGTGCCGAAATGGGTGCGGTGGCCTTCGGTGGAAACCTCCACACGTGACCACCAAACGTGTGAGATGTGTGCTGAAATCGGTGCGGTGGCGCCATGCGGACCCTGCGACTGGGGCTTTCGGTGGAGCTCCCTCTGAAGCCCCGAGGCGTGTGGAGCGTGTGCAGATATGGGCGTGGTGGCGCCATGCGGACACTGCACTGTCACTGGGACCTTCGGTGGAACTCCATATGGGGCCACGAAGCGTGTGACGGGTGTGCCGGAATGGGCGCGGCGGCGCCATGCTGACCCTGCCACCAGGTCATTTGGTGGAGCTGCCTATGGGGCCACGAAGCGCATGAAAGGTGCGCCGACATGAACATGGGAGGAATGAGGCAAGAACGGGATGTCGACGGTGATGGTGATGGTGATGATGATGATGATGCTGCTGCTGACGATGATGATGATGATGATGATGCTGATGATGATGATGATGATGATGATGACGATGACGATGCTGATGATGATGATGATTATGATGATGGTGATGATGATGATGATTATGATGATGATAACTATCACGACGGCGTGGACGTGCTGAGGGCAGAGGCAGGGATGGGATAAAGGGGGACGGGGAGCAAGGACGCGGGGCGCTGCCTCTTCAGAACGACGACCCAACACCACATAGTGGCTGCAGTCATCCCGAGGACCCACACCCCGTCTCGTTGTGAACAAATCACGGCGTGATGTTGGTGGCCCTAGCCGGACCTGGGGACCGTCAGAAACGACTCGTGATGAGAATCAGGTCCCTGGTAAAGGGGTCCAGATTTCCAATGGCGGCAATGTTTTTTTCTTTTGTTTATAATTTATATATATATACACAAAAAACGACGTCGGAAATATTTGGGAGGTGACGACCGGAACGAGCGAGGATGGGGATGGGCGCTGATGAGGATGAGCGGGTCGGGCACGAGAGCGAGAAAGGTAATGATGATGATGATGATGAGGAGGAGGAGGAGGAGGAGGATGAGGAAGGGACGAGGCAGACGAGGAAGGTGGATGAAGAGGCGGAGAGCAATACGGAAGGGGCTGGGACGACTGGGGGGAAAGGAAGCGACGGAGGAAAACGGGCAAGATGGGGATCAAAACGTGGAAAGATAATGGGGACGAGGAGGAGGCTGACGGGGAACAGGGGGAGGACGGGGATGAGGAGGCCGAGAAGGATAAGGTGGAAGAGATACCCAATGAGGACCGAAGTTCGTTCACAGAAATATGTGAGCTTGCGTGGACCCCAAACAATGTGTCGCTGGCAATAGATGTGGTGCGGTCTCTGTTGTGCAAATTGTGTTGTGCAATGTATGTGGTGCAATTCGCTGCTTTTCGCAATGAGCTGTCAACTCCACTGCTCCTGAAATCATCCCACCCATCCACCCGCAACTTAGATTGCAAAACCTACGCGGCGGCGATTGACGTGACTGTTCGGAGCGAATTGGCGCATCGCTGCGGCCGCGTTGGCGCTCGAAAGCTCCCGCGAAAAGCGGCCAACGACTGTGGCGCTTCTGGCGCGGCCGCGGTGGCGCTGACCGCTGGGGACGTCCCAGCGCGTCTCGCAGGCTGCGCTGACTCGCGGGCACTTTCATGCATGTCGGTGACTCGGGAGGGCACGGTATCGTGGCGACGTGAACAACGGCGAAACAGCGTTCGAATGATTTCGACTCGCGCGCGCGAGCCGCACGTTTGGTCGAAATGGATGAGCATTTTGAAAACTGGTGCTTTTCGTACGGATTCGAAATAGCGCGCGAGGATTCGTTGCAAAACTAATTGTATCTTCATGTGTTTGGGACACTCGGTGTTGACCCCCCTGCGAAACCGAAGGTTTTGTAATTGTTCTTGCATGCGCACGAGAACATGAACTCTGCTGCATGGTGTTCTTGAACATGCATGGTTGTTGGAGAAAAATGCGCGCGCACAATGATCTCTGCAAAAGTTGATGAGGGTCGATACCCGCTGGGCTGTGTATGTGGGGATTCATACTTCGAATTGGCAATGGGATACGATCATATGTAAACTGCGCACCCCCAGGAGGGAGATAATTCCGGCCTCGGGGAATTCGTGGATAAATTCTTTTACATACGCGTGCGAAGCGGCGTTTGCCCTGGCGGCCGAGGCACCTTACCCAAGACGGAAGGCTGCGCGTCAGAACGAACGGCGGGGTGACATATGTGGTGAGATATATGTTGTGTAATGTACGCAGTGCAGTATATGGTGAGCTATCAACTTCTGATCGCGATGAGTTGTCAGCTCCACTGCTCGCGCAATCCTCCCACCCACCAACCCGCATCTAAGTTTGCATTTACCCATGGTGAGTGCGTGGCTTTGGCATATGCATCGCTGCGGCCTCGCTGGCCCGCGCATGCTCGCTCGCGCAACGGCCAGCTTGTTTGGCGCGACCGACGCGGCCGCGGTGGCGCTGACCGATGGGCACTTCCCAGCGGGCATGTCAGTGCGGCTCGGCCACTTGGGTGGGCGCGGTACCATGGCAACGTCGGCCACAGTAAACACGATAATCATAGAAGTGATGCTGGCGCCGATAATGGCATCGATGACGGCCAGGCGAGCGACGGCGCCGATGCTGATCACATCGAACACGA